TTTTTGTTTAAATTATCTTTGAATTAGGATGATGTGTTTTTTTCCATTTGACTCTTTTTTCTTCCCTTTTAGATTTTGAAATTGGGTCTTCTTGAAGACAATGGTAGGTCATGTTTAGTTGTGCCTTGAGATTTGTTGTGCTTGTCTTCTAGGTTTCTCTGATTTTTTGAGTCTTGTTTTAACTCTTTAGATTCATATATTTCTGATTTGATACTAGAAGAGAAGGAATTTAATTTTATCATACATTTTTTTTAGTATGCTTTTCTTACGACGTGGGTTGTTTTTCTTTACTATGATATTTGGCCTCCTTCCCATAAAAAATCTACGTTGTATTTATTTATTGTGTGGTTTTATGAAATTACCTTCTTGAACGGTCAGAATTTCGTATTTGATGTTAAAATATTATACAGATGATTAAATTTACCCAACTTATCAACTCCAATTTTTGGATTGATTGGTGATTTAAAATGGTACTAGGAGTGTGTCCAATTTTTGGGTTGATTAGTGATTTAAAATGGTACTAGACGTGATGGCAAAATGAGTAATTTTGAAAAAAGAAATTTGAGTAGAATTAATTTTTTTAAAATCAAATTTCTAATTTGCATTTTGACAATTGTAAAAGACTCCCAAGAAGTTTAGTGTTTAAACTACTCATTTTGACCTGTTTAATTATTTTCATATAAAATCATACATATTTTAACTTTAATATATATATAGTTGGATAAGCCCAAGCATATACTTGGTACAAAGAATAAAACAACATTTTTTTTATTATTAAAAGAGAAAGATAGGTGGGTGACAGCATATATCTAAGATTTTCAAAGTTTCAATTAGTCTTTTAATTAATTTATTGAATTAAAAGGGGATTTAAATTTCATTGATCAAAACCCATGATTCAAAAATGACCTCTCTCTCTCCTTTACAAAAAAAAATAAATAAATAAAAAGACCTCTCAACGTCGTACTAATTTGAGACACATTAAAAAAAATTTTGGCCCCATGTTGTCTATGCCATCCTTGCAACAACAGAGCATCGTACCACACTGTTATTATTTTTTATCCCATTAGTTTCCCTTTTCTCTTTTTTGGACCCATGCTGTCAAAATTATCCTCCCAAAATCATTTAAACAATATAATAAGTGCACCAATTCACAATTTTGTATTACTTAGAACTTAATTGGTAAAGTTTGATTGTTTCAAACTTCCCAAATCTTCTAACTTAACAACATTAAAATCTTAATGTACAAATTTAAATATTGCATAAATAAAGGTAAAAATTGTGGCAGATTGATTCTTTCATAGCTAAACCAATCCTAAACCTTTTTATAATTTTAGAAATCTTAGAAACTTGTGTAAAGCTTAAATAAATTTTAAAAGTTGAGATTAAGATATAAGATTTAAAGGCTCCATTATAACACATAATTAAATGATTGTAATATGATATTTTGAGGAGAAGAGAGATTTGGTTGAAGTGAAAGGGATTGTATAGTCAATGTCCAAAACTGACTGCTTTTAAAAGATCCCAGAGTGGTAAGTTAGACAAAATATCAACAATTTTCCAAAAATGTCAGTCCTTTTTTCCAAAGTTTGAAGATTAGATTTGATGGATTTCAGCTGGTCCTTTTTTCTTTAAAATTTTTTCCTTTTTTTGTCAATTTTATCCAAGAATGTGATCCATATTCTCCCCCCTCAAAAAAATGAAAAAATAAATAAAAAAATAAAAAATATACAATTTGCTATTACCCAAAAAAACAGAAAACAAAAAACAAACAACCTTCGTACCATAACTTTTAATGGGTGAAGTAGACATTACACGATAGCTTTGTCTACTCAGAGAATTGTTAACCTTTTCGTTAGAGAACAAATAGAAAGAAATTTTACTTTTCAAATACCATTTCGAAAGACTCCAAATTGAACAACAAGATTCCCCCTCCCTCCCATTTCCACTTGCACCACACATCCAAATCCATTAATTTCTCGTGTAACCCCCCATTAAATTTTGTGTCCACACATCCAAATTTTCATCAATAATTCCATCAATGGAAGAATTCAACAATAGTACAGGGAAAAGGTCCTGCCTTATTCTACGAATCAATCCACGTGGAAAAGATAGGAAACCTAATAAAAGTTCATAATATAATTGAGTTAATTCTCTTTTTGTCAATTATTTTTTAAATGAAACATCTTGAATATTAATATAGTATCGAAGTCTCAAAATACTAAAACGAACATTCGGTCAAAAAATCGAATTCGACCAAGATCGATGATTCAAAAGAGTCACGATCTTAAGATGGTTTATAATATAAGTGGACTACTCTTTCATTTCTAATTGATTTAAGATGAAACTCTATAAATATAGACATCTATTAGTTTCAGTTTTCGAGTGTTGAGTTTGTAAAATAGTTACAAACAAAGTCTCATATTGATTAGGAAAGAGAATGATCATAGACAATTATCTCCGTCGGTTCGAGGATTATACGAACGAAGGTGATATAGATGAAGTTTGAAATTAGGTTTTGGGTACTGTTGAGGGAGCTGGCGGTGTCTCAGGTGACGTCGTCATCTGTTTGTGTAAAACACAAATCTTTTGCTTGAGATGCGAGTGCTCGAAATTGGCGTCTTTTGTTTTGACGGAACGCTGTTTTCAGTTTTTACAGCCTTTTTGTTTTGTCACCACTCATCATTTATCCCCTACTCCCTACCCCTTCTGCTTTTTCCCAACCCCTAATTTTATGAACCTTTTGCCTTTTCCTCCCTCAGAAGATTAATTAATTTTGGATAAATTAAATTTGGTGTCCAAACTTTTGAAATTATATCCATTTCTGTATTCATGTGCTTCCCAAAAGTTTTTAGTTGCGCTTCTAAATACTCATAACTTATTCAAATTTAGCTCATGACAAGTAAATTTGAAATCAATGGAGTTAATATTGAATATAAAATTAAAAATTTTGAGACCTATTAAATTATTTTTAAATTGATAGAAATTTTTAAAAATATAGGTATTTAATTAATAAGCACAGCCCTTACAAGTTTGGGATTAATATTTATATTTATATTTTGATGTTTATTTTATTTTATGGGAAAATATCAATTTTAACCAAAACTTAATGAGGTGTATTTGCAACTTGAGCATAATTATATTTAACTAGTTAAGATAAGACACTTATTTTCAATTAAAATGTCTTGTATTCGAATTTCCATCCCCACATGTCGTATAAAAAAAAGTGTATTGATTTTTACTCTAAATTTTTAATGTCAACAAATTGTACATTAAACCTTTTCTGCAATCTTTAACTTTAAATTTAAAATGCGTTGCATTTTTTTTTACCGTTTCATAGGTTTCCAGTTGAAAAAGTGTTGAAAAAAAAATTATTTTTATATGTGTCAAATGAATTATAAAACATAATATTGTTATGAAATTAACAGTATTCCTACAAAAACGATATTATAACTGATTTTTTTGTCGAATTTTTTAGCGGAGTTATAATATTGGTCATACTTGATTTTCATTCAATTAGTGAATTTTTTGAGTTCATTTTTTTTATTATTAAAATAAGTAGGTGGATTAGTGGGAATTGAATAGATGATAAAAATTGCAACACTGGTATAAATTTATGTTTCAATTTGATGAAATTTGAAGTTTATGGTAAAAATTTATACAATCAACCAAGTTTAGGGGTAAAAACATGATTTTTTTCCTAATATTTTGAAATTTTGAAATATTCTATTTTAATTAATGAATTTCGTATTTGAAAAAATTCATTTTAGTTCTACACTTTTTTTTTAAATAATTTATATACATGATTTTTGTCTATTTATTTGATAAAAAGATGTTCATGCGTATAAAATGCTTGAAGTTATATTATATCCAGTAGGGTGGTCAGTATTGATTTTCTAAACTAACTTAGAACTTTGTTAGATGATTAATTAAAAATAGTATCCTAATAGACTAAAATACTTTTATGCAAAAATTTTAGGAATTAAATCAAAAGCTTCAATGGTTTGAGCATGAACATTAAAATAATAATAATAAATTCCAAAATAAAATAACCACAAAACATAAGGACTAAGTCTTTCTTCACCACTCCAAATTTCCTGTTGTTCAACCAAATCACTCTATTTTTTATTTTTTATTTTAATTTTTTTAGAAAGACCAAACCACTCTATTTTTAACTTCTTTATTGCTTTAACATAATTTACAATTAACAACATTCGAAATAAAGCAAAACCAAGCATAGATCAAGTGGTTAAAGCATCTCTTTCTAATCAAAAGGTCATGAATTTGAATCCCCACCCACCGTATTGTACTCGAAATAAGATCTCACATATATTGGTCACCCAACATTAAAGACTTAAAAAGATCATCTTGTCACATCTTTATTCTCTTATTCAAACTTTAATCATAACACAACTCCCTCTTATAAAATAACAAATAAGTGAGATTACTAAAAGTATAGTCACACATGCAGAACGAATTGCTCATTCTAATCCCAAGACACAGCACATTGGAGAATGGAGGGTCTTTGTAAATTATGAACCCTAATAAAAGAAATTATTTTTATCACATGTACATTTTCTCACATTTATTATTATTCATTTTTAAAATAATAATAGAATAGAAATGGAATAAGTAATGATGGGGAGAACATGGGAAAATGGAATAGAAAAAAGGAAATTACTGTGAGGTGAAAAAGGAAAGTACTGGGGCGACGTCATGCTTGGTGAAAAGATGGGGAGTAACTGTAGGTGAATCAGCATGGGAAAGTTTGACAACTTTACCCAATTAATAAGCCAAGGGGAGGGCAGCGTGGTTAATAATCATCCTTAACCGTCCGATGTTCCTCGAATCGCGGATTCAGACCGTGGGATTGCACGTAGTTAATGTCACACTCACTGTTGGCGGCTCCTAAATCTACGCTAATCCGACGTCGCTTTGCCCATCTTTTGGGTAAATGGCTCTGGTAAATTCTCGTTTTTGCGTGGGACAATTTGGTAAATGTGTGAAAGGACTAATTGCTGACTGCTCTGCTACTTTATTTCTTTATTATTTTTTGGAATTTGCAATGAATGGATGGGTATATTCTTTCTTTCTTTCTATCTTACCAATTTAAATAGATTAAGGGCTATATTCATACTTTAATCTTTGGATTTTTAAAATTTTAAAATTTAGTCTATTTTCCATTTTATTCGCTAGGTACTTTTAACTTATTTTCGGTTTGTCTTTGTATTCACAATTTACTATTATTATTATTATTATTATTTGAAAAGAAACTGTATTCACGAAATGTTAGAAGAGTGTGATGATATTTGGACTAAAAATTAGTCAATTTTACGATAGTTATTAGTTTATCAACTTTTTAATAGGCCAAACTTTTATAACAATTTTCAGGTTTTCTTTTTTCCATTTTTAGGTTAGGTAAGTTACCTTATGCTTGCACATCCGGACATAATTCAACTGGTTAAAGTACTTATCTTCAATAAAAAGATTGTGAGTTCGAATTCCTACTCCAATATATTATGTTGAAATGTAACCATGACTTTATAATAAATGGCTTCTATTATGTGTGTAATTTATTTGTGTTAAAATTTTTGTAAATAGAGACTAAAATGATAACTTTTTAAGAAAACAAGAGAGAAAACAAACATTAAAAGAGCACAGGCACTAAAAAATAAATTAAAGTTGAAAATCTAGAGATCAAAATAAATCAAAATTGAGAGTAGAATGACTGAGATAGTATTTAATATAAAGTGAATTTCAATATCACATTATCAATATATCAATTATTATTAACATTTTGTGATATCAAGGAGTTTATTAAAAAAACAATGAATGAAATTGAAATTTTAAAATATCTGAAATCAAATTGAAAAAAGAATAAAGGGACTAAAGTATATATCTTACATATAGTTTTATTAATAAATTGAGTTCATTTATATATCTATTTATTTCCGAACTTCGAATTGTGTTTCTATTTATTTAGTTGTAGATAACACATCATTAACTATAACATGTTTGTGGGACAAATTTAACACAATGTAGCAAACAAATAGCATAAGGAAATAGAAAGTTAGGCAGCTATATATTAAAATAAGCTATCCTTTTGAATTAAATTTTGAAATTTTTGTTCATAAATTTTACCCTCTATTTTGTATAAACATCTACTTAATTTCTTCGACAATAACTTATCTACTACAACATGATGTCAAATGAACCAAAATTGGACTAATAACACATTTCGCGTCATCACTTATAGTTAACAAAATTTATAACTCAAAAGACAATTTAAAATCTTTAAAGTTTAAATTAAAGTCATAATATATATATATATATATATATATATATATATATATATATATAAATAAAGGGAAGACAAATTAAAGGCATATTAAAGCACCTATCATCAAAATTTGTAAACTAAACTTATATTTTTATAATCTTTTAAATAACTATCTTTAAAGTTATTTTCTATATTTTACCACAAACATTAAATAAAAACACATTTAAATCATCATTTGATATGTTTACAAACCCGTTTGAAACAAAATCATTGTTCAATTTCACAATCATACAATTTCTGTGCACAATATCACTAATTTGAAGGGATGAGTTATAGACTTTTACTGCTGCGCTCATGTCATGTTTGCAGTATCGCTAACTTTTTAAAAGCGACCAAATCACACTATTTATAAAACACAAAAACAAAATTATTCTGAAAACCTACATAGACTCTTATTACTAATAAAATTTGGTACACATATATACTTGGATAGAAATGTTTTATATTGTATATAAAATTACCCTTTTACCCCTCAATAACATAAACCAAAGACACTAAAATCTCCATTAATCACTAAACATAACACGAGGGAGTAGAAGTTAATTAAAATGCCTCAACTCTCAAGCCATGGCCGCTCCAGTAGTTTCAGTTTCACGAGCTTCATCATGGTAGCAATCGGCGACGGCGACATGGCGCTGCACATTCTTGTAGGAGTAGCGGCGGGCGATGAGGACGTAGACGCACAGATTGGCGGCGGACACGGCGGCCAAGAGGCAGTAGAATTTGTCGAGGCGGCTGCTGTTGAGATCCTTGCCGAACCAGCTGTTGCCGGTCCGGCCGGTGATGTCGTCGACCACCGTGATGAGAAGGCTGCTCAGAAAACTGCCGGCGCCTATTACGCTCAGGTAAAACGCGATGCCGAGGCTTCGCATGGAGTCCGGAACTTGGTCGTAGAAGTACTCTTGTAGACCCACGATGGCGAAGCCGTCACCGAATCCGACGATCACGAACTGCGGAGCTAGCCAGAATACTGACATTGTTAGGGAGCCTGTTTTTGGATTGTCCGCCGCCACCTGGTTGGAAAGTTGTTCCAAAATGTTAATGATGCCAAAAGCTGGCTTTAGGTTGATGACGGGGATAAATTTAGTTTATATATGGGAGGTTTAACACAAACCTCCCGATTATGAGTCAATTTGATCTGATTCTTAAGAATTGGTTTGTAAAAAGTTTATAAGAGCTCTTCAAACTATTAGTTTTGTTAGGAGATCTCTAATTGTTCAAAATTTATCTAATATTTAAGAATTTAAAAATTATGGCGCGGGTTGATTAGATATAGTCATTTGTTGTCAAACTAAGATCAATGGATAAATATTTATTAAATATAAGATTGAAAGTTGTTGAAGATTTTTATTAAAATGGTTAAAAACCACATTTGTTCAATGTACTTTCACTAAAGTAACAATTTAGTCCCTCAACTTCAGTTTGTAACGATTTAGGTTTTGTACTTTCTCTAAAGTAACAATTTTGTCTCTGAACTTTAATTTGTAAAGATTTAGTCCTGTGGTTTAAAATTGGTAATTATTTTATCCTTATCGTAAATTTTTTTTATTAAAATTAAGTTTCAAATTTTATCATATAACAACTTAATTTTTCTAATTCATAAACACATTTGGTCCCTCTTTAGTTTATCAATCTATACATACAAGAAATTTAACAAAAAAAACTTTATGATAAGGACTAAATCGTTACCAATTTGTAAAGTTCAAGGACTAAATTGTTACCAATTTCAAAGTACAAGGACTAAATCGTTACAAATTAAGGTTCATTTTACTTTAGCGAAAGTACGAGGATTAAAAATGTTTTTTAACCTATTAAAATCCATTTATAAGAAAGGGAGATAATATCTCTACTTTGGTAGTTTTATTTTTGAAAACAGAATTTGAATGGTGTGACTTAGACTCTCAAGAATGAAAATTTTGAAAACAATATTTATTGTTACTTAATCTACAACCAAAGTTTCTAGAAGACAACTCTACTTTCTACTAAATTTTTTATGTGTATATTTATGTTTTTCTAGTGTAGTGCGCAAAATTAGAGAGATACCTACCAAATAGAAAAATTTAAAGTTAAAGGTGTGTAAGACATCTTTCTAAAGTTCATGAACAAAGTTAAAAGATTTATGAACACATTTTAAAAGTACCTAATAAGTCCTCAATACTAGACACAACTCTATATTTACTAGGTACGGTGCAAAATTAAAGGTTAACTAAATACCTACTAAATAGAATATTGAAAGTTGAAAATATCTTACACATATTAAAAGTTCAAGATTTATAAAACAAGTTGTAAAAGTAATTTTAAGTGCTCATTAGATACAACTCTATATTTCTTACCTAAAAACTTTCCAAAAAGCATAGAGAACAACTTCAAAATTTAACCAACAAAAATTATAACTTGAAAGTAGGGATTTTTTTTTTGTCTCTCTCTAAAAAGGAAGTTTAAATTTTAAACGTACCTGGAGTCTCTTTTTCTCCACTAAAGCTGCAATTATCATGGTGGCTACGACGAAGAGCATTCCAATGCCAATTCTTTGGAGAATGTTAATGCCTCTCTCGTTGCCGGTGGTTCGCCGGAGCATGGGCACCAGCAGCTTATCATAAATGGTGAGAGAGACGAGCATTGCGACGGCGGCCAGGCAGAAGATGGTGGTCGGCGGGAGGAGAAAGCCGTCGCCGATCTTCCGGTTAAGGTTGGCGGCTTGTTTGATGAAGAAGGTCGAGGTTTGGGCTATGGTCATTCCGAAGGGCAGAGTCGCCAACCAAATGGGTATCATGTTCAAAATTAGCTTCATTTCCTCCACCTTCGTCACCGTCGCTAGCCGCCATGGATTTTGCTTCTCCGCCGGACCTCCGGTGCCCTCACAAACGGCCGCCTTGTCAAGAAATCTAAAACCCAACCAAAAGTTTAAATTTAAGAATTGTGTGAAAAGATCATACTTAAATAATGTAATCCATATGTCATTAATAGTGTAGTAAAGACTTATTTGAAACCAAAAAAATTGGATAAAAAATTAGAATGTGCAAGAGCTAAATAAATTAAAGTTGGGATAAATTATGAATTTGGTCCGTTTTTAAATTAAAATCTCTAGAATTTATAAGTATTGATTTTTTTACTTTTATTTTTTTTATTCAAAAGTATGACTTTCACATCGGTATTATATATTGTTTGCTTTGAACATAGTAGACCCTTCTTTTGATTTTACTCAAAAAAAAAAAGAAAAAAAATTGGAGCATGAATCACTCGTTTCCTTAACTAATATTAAATTTTATTTGCACTCATTGACAATTCATAGAAGAACCGCACCACAACTATTTTGGAAGTATAGAAAACAAATAGGGTAAAATATATTTTTGGTATCTAACATTTGGACTTGATTTCTATTTGGTCCAGTATTTAAAAAACCATCACTTTTGGTCCCTAAGACGGTAACTTGGTTTCTATTTGGTTCTTACATTTAAAAAATGACATATTTAATCCATAAAGTTTGAATTTAGTTTTTAATTGGTCCATGAGATTTAAGATTAGTTTCAAATTGATCCCTAAGGTTTTAATTTGGTTTCTAATTGATTCTTGGATTGTGTCAACCATTAATTGACTTAACCAAAATGATGTCACAATTAACACACCTTGACTAGACTTTGTTATTTATGGAAAAGAGATTATTGAATTCAAACTCTAGAGATCAATTAAAAATTAAATTCAAACTTATGTCATTTTTTCTAGAAACTTCGATAACTAAATTTGAAAATAACTTTTAAATAGGAGGGATTAAAAGCGGTGGTAAAACTAAGTACAAAACTAACTAAAAATATATTCACCCAAATAAATATAATGATTGGTTTTATTGCTTACTTGAGGTTGGGGGTGTGGCACAAGAACCTGCCATGGCCATTCGCAGTCTTGGGAAATTCATGCAACAGAGAAGGACTCGAAGGGTGAGGAAGCCTCCTGTTCCGAATGGCGGCCACAAGCACCTGCAACAACGGCGTCAGGGGGCTCCCAGACGGCCGGCGGTAGCGATAAAATGGGCGACCGGCGACGAAAATGAGGACGGACACCGCCATGACGGCGGTGAGAATAAGATCTGCAGCTCCCCAGCTGACGTGATCCTGTATATAAACAATGAAGGTGACGCCAAACAAGAGGCCAGAACAGAGGCCGAAGTTCCACCAGTTGAAGTAAGACATCTTCTTCTTCCTCTCTTGGGAGTGGTCGTCGTCGAATTGGTCGGCGCCGAAGCTCTCCAGAGACGGCTTGTGGCCGCCGGTGCCTATGGAGATCAAGTAAATGGCCAGGAAGAAGATGAGCTCATGCCTCTTCCTGGGTTCCAAACACACCTGCTCATCACCCCCACAGGCTTTCAAACTTGGAACCAAAGCAGACATTGTTAACAGAATCAAACCCTGCACTCAAACACAAATTAACCATCATCACATCATCACATTAATTAACTATATAATTTGTCCTACGTACCACCAGCTTTTTCCGTATCAAATTAATAAGCTGACGAATTATGATAAATTTAATCACTTATTGAATATCTCAATACTCTCCTAAAAAATACTTAGTTACTTAACAGTCATAAGAAGCAATGTTGTCTTCACCATTTAATTAGGAGAAGGAAATGTTTTTTATAAAAATTTATGAGTGGTCAATTTTTTTAACGGTTAGTTTTAAAGCCAAGCATTTTCTTCTCAATCCAGCTTGTGGAAATGAATATAAATGGAGTAATCTTTTAGCAGGAAGCATTAGCAAAAAGGTTTTCTCTAAAAGTTGAAGCGGATGATTAAGATACATGTTTGACTTCTAATTAAAATTTTGGTGCTGTATTAATTAGAAGTTTATGTTTCCGCACGTAATACTAAACTCAATGAAGTCTCACCAAGAGGTAGAGAATGGAAGAGAGAAGAACGGTGGCGTAGCGGCCGAAGTAAGCATCGGCGAGGAAGCCGCCGAGGAGGGGCATGAGGGTGGTGACGCCGGTCCAGTAATTAACGCTCCTCGCCGCCGTCTTCAGCTCTTGATGAAGCACTCTGGTGAGGTAAATTATTAAACTCGTCGCGATCCCAAAGTAGCTCAGCCTCTCACCGAACTCGATCGCTGCACATTCCCATAATTAGCTCAAAATTACAAATTACATCCCTCTTTCTCTTTATGTAATAATAACAATCCAATTTACAACAAAGTACTAAATTTTTCGACACTTCTATAATTATTATACCGACAGCACGATGGAAGATTTGAACTCGAAATTTTCATAAAAGACAGGTGTGAATTACCATGGACTTGGCATCATCCGCTTTTTGTTGACCATTATATATGCTCTGCTTTTTGCTTTTTCTTTTTTCTTTGGCCTTTTTTTTTTCTCTTTTTGAGTTTTGCTTGAACAGTGGAGACTTTGTTTTATTGCAATTTTGTCATTCTTGTTGTTTTGTGATTTTCTACCGGAATTTTTTTTTCAATATTTATTTTAGTCCAATTTAAGAAAAATATAATATTATTGTAAAAGGGATATTTTCTTTTATCAATAATGAAAAATAAAAGAAAGTTTTGCATAAATTTAATTTACATTTAAAAAATGTCACCCTTTTTTATTTTTTAAAATATAGTATAAGTTTGACTTTTTATAATGTAATTTGACTTAAATTTAGATTATACTATCTGGTAAAATTTTAAACTTTTCTACTCTATTTAAAAAATACATATTTATTTTAATAAACTATTTCTCACACATACTTACTTTTCGCTAATTCAACTGGAAATCAAACCATCTACTCGTAGAAGAATTTTTCCACCTTTGGAATGAGAGTTTTGACGTTGGATTTTTTTCTAATTTCTATAAATTAAATGTTAAAATCACTCACCATAAAGCATAAACTAAACACCCCTTCATATACATCTTCGATGCTTAATTATTTCAATCCTTTTTGTTTCTGTTTTAATTTCAATTAGGACTTTTTTTCCTGAAAAAAAGCAACAACAAATTTATTTCTTAAAAAACAATAGTTACTCACAGAACTTTTTGCTAAAAGAAAACAGAGAATTGTGTTCGAAAATTTTCAAGCAATCCCCCAACGAAAAACCCCAATTCACCATAGTTGAAGCTCTGGGAAAAGTAAAGTTTTTAAAGGGAAAAAGATGAAATATTCCGTTACCGATGATGAAGAGAGAGGCTTTCCAAGCACCAGTGGAGGCTCTGAGAGGAATTCTGCCTCTGTAATCAACAGAAGAATCACGAACCCATTTCTCATCAGTTTCACCGCCGCCATTAATCTCCGATCTCTGCAACTCATCTCCACCGTCCATCATAATTTTCATCACAACTTAATTAATTAGAATTAGCTACTTTTCTTTTGGATCTCACTGCTTCACTTTCCACTCCCTTATATAGGCCAAAGATTTTCTCCCTTTTGCTTTCCATCTCTCTAGAAGGGTTAATTTAAAGGGTAAAAAGAAAAGCTTCAAAAACAGGAATTTTTTTTTTACCTTTTTTGGTTCTGGGTGTAGCTGGTTAGAGAGGGAATAGATTTCCATGTCAATTTCTGTGGTGGGAGATTTGGGAGAAGGCTTACAAACAAACAAATTACTGTCAAAGTGAAGTGTGTTTATATTCCAATTATTTTCCACCATACAATTGACTGTAATTAAAAAAAAAAAAAAAGAGAATTATCTAACCCCTCGTTTAAATTATTCTTTTACTAGACTTGGTGGGCACGATTTGATTAGGGAACTAAAAAAAATGTTGTGAGTAGGATATGTTGGATGATTTATATATCTTAATCAATTGAATTATATTGAGATTAGAGAAAGAGATTAGTATACTACATATCTACTTCAAGAAAATTAGGTGTTTTTTTTTCCTTCTATTTTGTACTTCAAAATTTTTATTTGATCTCTATGGTGAACTTGGTTAAAGTATTCTAAAATTGTAGTTTATCAATTTAAAACTTTTATAACATTTTTTTCTCTATAAATGAAAACGAAGAGAAGACTAGAGCGAGCATAACTTAACAATAATTGACATATATCTCTAACAAAAAAATTGCGAGTTGAACCAAATCAAAACTAAATTTATATGGATCTAATTTAATATGTCTAAGATCATAGGAGTTAAATTGAAACTAAATATATTGTTAGACGTATCTGGATGGTTTAACCTAAAAAATTGGAAAGAGTTAAATTTTTATAGTAAAACTTCTGGTTCATATTTTAACTCTATTAATTAATCTTTTAATTTAGTTAAAAGTTGACGAACAATTTCTAAGAATTGAAGAAAAGTTTCAAGACAAACTTATTTGTTTTTCTTTAATCTAAAAAGAAACTTATTTTTTAGACAACAAATGTTAATATCAAATATAAGGTAAAAAAGGTTTTATTCTTTTGAGAATGGGTTTGATGGAAATTACTCTCATGACCCATAATAGATGTTGGCTACCTTATTTGTTTTTCTTTAATCTTAAAATGAAGTTATTTTTTAAATAACAAATATAAGAAGAAAAAAAGTTTTATTCTTTTGAGAATGGGTTTGATGGAAATTACTCACATGGCCCATAATAAATTTTGGCATGAAGACAAAATTATGGTCATAGTATATCAGGACCATTAGATAGTTGATAAATCAATTTGAAATGGATAATCTGTTCAAAACTAAATTGAAAAGAAGTGAGACAAACCAATAATTAGAACAAACATGATTTTCGTTAATCTAATTAATAATTTGGATAACAAAATTAGCTTTAATTTTTTTTTTTAATATTACATTATAAAGAAAGGATAATAGAACTTACCAGATACAAGTCCCCTTTTAAATTATACTCGAGTCAAGTTAAAAAAATTTAAATTCTCATTTTATTACATAATATATATCTTATATTTTTCTAATAGTTTTGACGTATTCATTTGTAAAGATTAATTATTTGATGACATTTTTATTTTCTATATTTTATTTTGAGTTTCTAATTTTCAAACATAATTACTTTTTTTTACTCAATTTTCGAAGTGACCTAAATTAGAAGATAATTAAAGAAATAATTAATAAATGTACCATATATATTTTTTAAAATTATTGCTTGAAAAAGAAAAAAAAAACTAAAAATTATTAATTTCTTTAAAAATAATATAGTACAGAAGAAAAGGAAATTTGAAAAAGACACAAATATATGACACTAAAGCACGTCCCTGTCCCTGCTCCCAAATCGCATTAAATTTTAACATAATTGAATATTTTCAAATTAAATATAATACACAAGTAGCCTAATAAGGAACTTTATAGATAAATTTTATTAGATCTATCTATTTTTAGTATAAAAGGGAATTCAAATCCATAATTTTTTTATTAGAGATATGTGTCAAAATATTGATGAAATCTATATAGATTGAATAACATTATCATATATATATATATTTTAAATTAAATGTCACATTCTAATTATAATTAATTTAATATTAATGTGCTATTGGCAATAAGATCTCGAGTCTTTGGAATCTATAATTGAAGCCATTAGATTTGGTCCAGAGAAAAGCAAACGTATCACTAATTCTGAAACTTAAAATATTTTAAATTAAACATGATTGATCACCCATTTTCCCCACCCAATATATTTAATTAATTAAGAGCTGTCCCCCATCTAATTGACCAACCAAATACCAACTTTTGACCCTTAATTTTCTCATTATCATCGGCACGTTTAATAACTTTCTATCACATTTATTAAGTGGTTATTAATAAAATTCAGCTTTAAATACTATTTTGTTTTTTATACAATTCTTTTTTATTCTTTATTTTTAAAACGCTATTTTGATCTTTGAATTTTTAATCTTTATTCATTTTAATTTATATACTTTTAAAATCTTTTACAAAGTAATTATTTTGATCTCTTTGTCAATTTTATTTGTATCTAATTTTTTTTATCACAGTTAGCATGACAGTTTTCACTCATTAAGTTTTTTGAAATGTGACTATAAATTTGTATTTCAAAAGTATTGTGTATAAAATTTTACAAAGAAAAATTAAATTGGTCACTTTTAAAAAGTACCTGTATCAAGATTGATGGTTTGAAATTACAGGGATAAAAATAAATAAATGTTAGAAATAAATACTAAAATTGACATTCAAAAGGACAAGAACCAAAATCAACCCAATTAAAAAAATACATCTTCAATATTTCATGGTCAAAATCTTTTATATAAATTTTGATGGCACCTTTACGATTATTTTAAACCATCATCGAAAGTTTAGTGGCTTTCTACCATACCATCCAATGTTAGAAGAATGAAGAAGAAAATATATGTTAGAGTATAAAAATGTCTTTAAAAATTTTGAAATGAGTAAGAATTTATATCGACCCCAGATCAGATTTTCTTTATTAAATTAAATTCAGAAGAAATTGGGGTGTGATTTTTTTAATTCTCTCCCTCCAATAATATTGAGTGAGCTGCAACTATCCAATATTATCCCGTGTGATGTTTCAAACTTTTCAAGGAAAAGTAAGTTTGATCTAAGTTAAATAATAAACAAGAAAAATGGATGTTATCAAACTAATCATAAATTATTTATTTTACTATTTTATTTTTACTTTCTATGGGAAACAAAAAAAGTCAATATTATATTATTGTATGCTAGAGTCATACCCCAAACTTAACCATGTTGGAAAATTTCTCTAGTGTGTGTCGTGCATTAGAAGAAGAAAAGTTGACATTGACATGAATAAGAGTTGGGTAGATGACCTATATGAGAAGAGGTTCGGTGGTACTTTATCTGAAAGAAAATAGTGTTTCCTTAACAATATTAATACAACATGATAAATTATTAAAAGAAAAAAATTTGGTGTGTTTATAAAGTGGGTAAAGTTGAAATTATTAGGTGGATATTTACTTTCCATTGTGGTCATACCACTCCCTTTAAAGAACATAATCAAAATCCCAATAAAACCACTTTTAAATAGCCAATTTCTCTTATAAAGTTTTAATTATTCATTTTTAAGTCCATTCTCTCACCCACCTAATGGCTTTGGTCATATGATCAATTTTCAGCAGTATGTGAGCTCTTCTATGGCAGCCTTTAGTGGGGCATTATGTGTTGACTTTGATTGTTCTATTGAAGGTGAGTAATAATGATAGATAAAATGTCAAATTTTTGAGGAATTAAATAAACTAAACATATATAATAATATAATGTTGACTTTTTTTTGTTTCTCATTAAGTAATTCAGGGCTAGTCTGGTAACGTTCCTGTTTCTTGTTTATTTTTCTTAATTTTTAATGAAGAAAAAGGAATTGCATAGCTCCAACATTCATGAATTCAAGTATGATAAAACAATCTTTTCATTTATGTTTTGGAACAAATTGGAAATGGGAACAAGAAAGAAGAAACTTGTTTTGGTTATTACCAAAATTTCTATACAATTGTGAGAATGTTCCAAAGAAAAAAGAACAAAAAAAAAACAAAATTAGTTGCAAAATACTTAGATTTTTTAAGAAAATTGAAAACGAGAAACAAGAAACGGAAACGTTATTAAACGAGCCCTTAATTTCTGCCAAAATTGATTACCCTTTAAAAGTAGAACATACCAAGCAAATTTATCTTTAATGGAATGATTACTCAACCTCTAAATTAACCCCGTAGGCCTAGGATTTCAAATCCCTGCCACTTGGCTGCACCACCTTCTTTATCTTACCTAGAAGAGTAAAGGCTATCCCTATACATCAACACGAGTTCTTTCAGCATGTTTTGTCCTCACCCACATGCTTTTTAAGAAAATTCTTTTAAGAATTCACCAAGCTAAGCACGCTCAATTTTGGAGTTATTATGATTAAGTCACCAAAAAAGAAAATGCACCTTAGTATAAGCAGTAACAATCAATTCTTTTTAAGTCTTTCTTAATCACGCTTCCACAGTCTCAAGATCTCTCTCATTCGAATATGGTACCAGTTCATCCATATACCTTTCATCTCTACTCGAACGTAAAAAAATAAAAATAAAAGAAGACTTAATAATCTCAAGAATCTCTCTAACGCAATAATCGAACATAATTGAGCTTTTAAAAATTTTCTTTCTATGGAGTCATAATTCATTTCTTACCTTTAAATCTAAATGGGGATTCAACAAAACATATCAAGATGAAACTTACCCTTTTTAGAAAACTATCCAATTTGTCCCTCTTGAAGTTTTCACAAATGAGATAAAAGAAGATGAGAGACACCCAAAAGTAATTTGGCATGCAGCTGTGTATCTCGTGTTTATCCAAATATCTTTGAGTTAGACAAAAGCAAATTCCATGTGTTCAAAACAAAGGCAAAGGGCATAGTTATATAATTAATAAGTTGCAGTGAAAGGTAAAAAAAGAGAGAGACAAAGGAGCATCTCAAGAGGCAGCAGCTTTGGTTTGGCAATGCGTGTGAGATTTCATGGAGGTCAAATCCATCATTCTCAATCAGATTCTCTCTACACTTTGAATAATTTTTTGCAATCTATATATATTATTCTCTCTGCTATCTGCATAACCAAAATTACACTATATATATATATATATATATATATATATATATTTTACAATAATTCTCTCTCTCTTTTTGCTCCAAAAACTGTTTTACTTTTTTCAGGAATATATTCCAAATATTAAGACAAAGAGAAGGAGATCAGGAGAGAACGTTATCTTCAATCGACATGCCTACGTGATATACACTAAACCCATTCACTTCAAACTTCAAAACCGGCCAATGGCTAAGATGATGATTCTCTTTTGGGTTTTGTCGTTTGTTGAGGAAAGAGAGTTTTAATTTTCTTCGGGATGATTTGAATCTTCAACTTCAAAAAAATAAATAGTTAAATATTATTTATTGTTGGCATAGCTCAGTTAACTAATGAATTTGAACATCGTAGTGTCTTGTCTTCTTCAAATATTAATTGTAGGTTAATTTGGGAACTAAAATTGAAATTTTGACTAATACGTTCTCAATTTCTGAATTTTGTGTCTGATAGACCAATTTTCAATTTTATGTCTAATGGGTGTTCTGTCATATTTAACATGGTATAAAATTCATCAATTTGTTGGACACAAAATTTGAGGTTAAATGATTTACTAAACATTTTTTAAATTTCAAATATCTATTAAACTAACATAACTCTTGAAATTGCATTCTGTTTAATTGAAAAAACATATCGGATTGAAAATTGATGGACTAAACTTATAATTTAATAAAAAAAAATAATAACGGGAAGAAAGAGAATACTTTCGAATGATTTTTTCAAAAAATGGTTTTCAGTAAAAGCATACTCCCTTCTAAGTATTTTTCAATGAAATACTAGTTAATTAAGTGGTTATCTAAGATTGGTTTTAAACATTTTATAGTGTTTTTAGAATTTACTTTTTATTATCAAATTAAACATCCGAAAATACTTTATTTTAATGTGTAAAAAAGTCTCGATTGGATCATTCAATAACGCATTTGTTAACAAAATGTTGATGTATCATCTAATCGATACTTTATTAACATATTTAGATATAACTTGATACATAAAATTCGAATTTCCTATCAAATGACATGTTTAAGTAGCATGTTTATCATGTTAACAAAATAGTAACAAAATTTTAAGAGAAGATTTAAAGAAAGTTATGGTCGGTATTTCTGGTGTTTTACAGTTAAACCCAAGTGGGCATCATTGGTTTTTTGTCTTTTCAAACAAAAGCGAGAGAGAAGAGTGTTAAATTAAACGACCAAGTTTGGTGCATCATTTCTTTACATTCACTTCACTTTTGAAAATGTTCTTTGATGTGCAAATTCCATCACTACAACAATTTGTAATTATCTGCTTTCATTGGCAGTGCTACTGCTACATATTTCTTTTATTTTATAAAGGTTAAAAATAAACTAGTTTCATACTAATTTTTCCCCTTATAACCTTAGCTAGATTTTGAAAATTAAAAAAAAAAAAAGAAAAAAGAAAAAATCAGAATCAGAAACATATTTTGATTTTTTTTACATTTAATAACCTTTACAAATTACAAAACTAAAGGTAGACAGAAAAGTTCTTTACTAGAAAATATATATATTATCAATCAGTACTTTTGATTTTCTTTTTCCTTTTTTTTATAATTTTTTTATTTTAATTCATCATATAAAGTTAATACTCAATTTTCCTCTTGACGTTACATTTGTGTAAGAATTTCCCATATCCTGTTTGATTTTGGTAATAATTTCTTAATTCAAACTTATAATGCGGCAATTAGGGGTATAGATCAATTTTAATTTATTTCATGTCCAATCAAATCATTCATATGAGTCCAATCAATCTCTTGAAGAAGCACAACCAAAATGAACCATTAGGCTTAAAAAATCTTAAATGCTATAATGTATATCTTTCTTCATATTTATTTATTGGTCCTCAAATGGACTGATATTGAATTTTGGATAGCCTGTTACCATGATTTGGACTTATTCCTTTAACTCTAGAGATAATGTTTTGGATCAGTTATTTTGGAAACTTATTTTTATAAATGTCTAATGTTTATAAATTTTACAGTTTTAGATTTTTGGATTTAAAACTTCTTCCAAATATCAAATTTGCCATTATTTATGGCATTTATATTTATTATAATTAATCTTTTATTTAAATGCAAAAGATTAATATTCCAAATTTGATTTTGTAAACATTAAATTTTTGTGGATCTAAATCAATCATTCTCGTAATTCCCCATTTTACTCCTTAATATATTCTACTTTAAGTTTATTCTCATAATTCTCAAATTTACTCCTTAATATATTCTACTAAATAATGAAATTTAATACAAAATTTTTTCATTTCATTACAATTTTTGGCCAAATTTCAATAATATAGTCATTATAACATACACTTATATATATATATATATATATACTATATCCTACCTTTTCATTTATATGAAAATATAAATTACATCGGACTATAAACTTAAGCAACATATACTTAACAATGGTGATATAAACTACAGCCATTGTAACATACATTTATATGGAGATATAATCTATATCTGGCTATAAAGTATATACGATTATATCCCTCTACAATTAACAAACAAAGAAAATAACCTACAAACCTTTCAGTCGGAGATTAGACAATGGTCGGGATAAACGGAAGGCTCGAATGGTCAATGGACGGCCGGCGACAAAAAAGAAACCTCGACATAAATGGACCAAAACAATGGACGAGCGGCCGGAGACGAAGGAGAAACTAGACGGACTATTCCGACAACGAAGAAGAATGGAGGCGGCGGCCGGAAACAAAGGAATGCAGACGGCGACTGGAGATGAAGGAATGAATGGAAACAAAACAACAGAGGAAGAAGAAAAGTCGGAGGGAGGAGATTTTCGAATTTTTTCAATAATGGAGGATTTTGGGGATTTGGTATTTTTTACTTTTGAAAAGTCTAATGGGATTATATATATGGTCTATTTAGAAATCATAATTACGTAAAAAGATTAAAAAATATAGAATTTACACTTTTGTCATGAAACAATCCTAATTAGATGATATCTATCACACAAATTACTAATATATCCTTTTATGCTCTATTTGGTACCTCGAATTTTTAGAGGAATTCAAAATCATGACGGATTTCAAATGAATTCCACTGTTTCGTAGCACATGATTTTGAATGATTTGAAATCTATTTCAAATCCTATTTTTACTTGAAAAATTTTCCAGATCAAAATGGTCGGATTTTACAGGATTTAAATAGACTTTCGAAGTAAATTACCTATTTAACCTCGTCATATTTTAATTTCTAATTAATAAATTTAAAATAAAAGCCTAAATCAGTAAAATTTATATTTCCTTTCCATTTCCAGTGAACATCCAAACAAAAAAATCTAATTTAATTAATCATTCTTATTCCAAACCAGATAAAGAATTTTAAATCATTTCTCGAATTTTAAATCATGTCATCAACTTTCTTGACCCTAAATAGAGGATTAAGAATCCATCTCAATATTAAATAATTATTAAAATCTAGAATTGGTAAATTGGGAGGTCAAAACCCTATGCCAATGATACTTTCCAAAATAAAAAACTCAAAAACTCAAAAAACCATCCATTTTCGAAACCCACCCATTTCTTCTTCCTCCGACCGTCTGTTTTTCTTCCTCCGACCCTCCGTTCTTCTTCTCCGATCGTCCATCGATGTCTGCCTTCCTCTTCGGTCGGCTCCGTTTTTCTCTGTTGCAAGAGCATTTCGTCTGCGTTTATCCTCTTCGAAAGGAGATTTCTGTCGGTTCTTCTTCTTCAGTCGTTTCTGCCTGCCTTCGTCCCTGGCTGACGTCTGCCTGCCTTCATCTCCGGCCGCCTCCATTTTTCCCAGTCGCCAGAGCAGTTCATCTCCCGATTTAAAGGTTTGCATTCCAACAGTTGTTTTCAATTTCTGATTTCGTGTCAAAATTGTATATATGATGATATATATTATGGTGTTTGATTATGATATATCTTATAACTCAACTTGTATATATGCGGAAATGCAGAAATATACTATAGTGATTTTGAATGTATATATGCAGATATATAAGTGGATACATCTTATAACTCAACTTATATATATGCGGATATGTGGATATATACTATAGTGATTTTGAATGTGTATATGCGGATATAAAAGTGGATATATACTGTGATTTTCAATATGCGGATATATGTTTATTGAGACTTCAAAAGATGTTTATGTGATTTTGAATTGTCTTTGAAGATTGAGCATAATGTGGGAGTGAATTAAGTGAAAATCAATATTTTTAAAGGAGTAAATTAAGGTTTTGAATATGTGAATTAATGGATTTGTGTTGAAAATTAGTATAGGATCCACAATAATTAAAGAATTATTATTAATAATTTATGGAATTAAATCTTTTATATTTAAAAAAACAAATAACTATAATAATTGTAAATGCAATAAATAAGGGTAAAATCGAAATTAAAATAAAATCATACATACAGAAATCTAAAAATGTAAAATTAGAAAATTTTAAACGTAAATAAATTTCTAAAACAGTCCTACGAAGACATTATCTCAAGTCTAATTAAGCAAAATAATCTCCAAATAACCAACTTTGGATTTTAAAAATTAATTAATATTGAGGTGAGATACAAAATGATATATTAATAAATTGAGTGATAGGTACCATCTTAAATGAAATTATTTCATGACAAAAGTGTAAATTTAATATCATTCAATCCTTTTATGTAATTACAGTGTCTAAATAGCCTATTAATATACTAATCCCTTAACTCTAATATATAGATTGGACCTTTATTAATCACTAAATCAACACATGATGGTTTGCTCTATTATCAACAAAACTTGAAATGACGCTAAATTTGATAGAAAAAAAATGGGTAATTCTAAAACATACCAATGGGAGGAAAGAGAGAAAAAGATCCCTTTTCTCACTACTAGCAATGATTCAAACAATTGATTTGTTCGATTTTGTACACCTGTACATGTATTTCTTCCAATAAAAACATTCAAAGCAAGCCAAACAACCACTACAACAAAATGGCATAAAGGTACGGCTACAAGTTATCCCCAAAAAAGCATTGTTTGGATTAACACCACACAAACCGACAGGGCAAGATGTATTGGTAGCTGAGTCAGAATCACCTTTAGAGCTCAAAGAACGTGAGATGTTCATGGTTTAGCCATATCGTATCAACTGCTACTATGGGGGTGTGCCTGTGCTGTCCCCTCAGTCAGCATAAGATTGCAATTCCATTAAGTGGAGGGATGGGAATTATCCAATCCCAAAACACACAATATGCAATGATCCAGTATCAGAATTCTATTCTATCTCCAACAGAAAAGAATAAAACCTTTTGGGTCTGAATCATTCTGGTAGTTGAACAAGAAAAAAGTTCAAAACCATCATAATTTTCTCCATGGTTATCCCAAGTAATCTCAAACAAGATTGGTGAGTCCAATGCGGTCTCTGTGGAATGTGGATTGGTCTTCTCTTGACTGCTGTTCCCTTGAGCATGAATGAAAGGTAAGAAATGTTTCTCTTGATTCTGAATCTTCCAGAGCCTGATGGTGTAAGAAACAGAGCAATCCATTGGATAGAAGTAATTACAGTGGTGCTGGACAATCTATCTCTGTCAAACAAAAGAGAGAGCACCGCTTTACATCTGTTTAAATATATTAAACCAATAACAGATGCTGGAAGCAGATAAGTACTATATCTTCAGACAGATCATAAATGATAAACCTCAACCACGAACCCACTATGCCACCATCCGCTGGTGGTGATGCTCTCGACACCTCCTGAAAAATGATTTTCTATTTTTTTTAGATTTGATCATAATAAATGATTGAGGGTAAGTTTAACCTGACTTTTGGAACAGTGAATAATGTTTTTAGCTAATTGAAACTTGGAAGCACTTTTCAAAATTTTCAAGGTTTGGCTATAGTGAAAAATGCTTTTGAAAAATCTAACACTAAGATGGAGTCCAAAATGACTTTTGAGGGTAGTGCTTTAACTTCTAAATGAAACACTTTCTGTGCTCACGGGAAATAATCAATAATAAAACTTAAAAAAACACTAAAGTGTTTCTAAGTATTTCTAGAATTTTCAAAATTACTTTCTTTTGTAACAAAAAAATATGAAAATTTTGAAAAATGTTTTTTAATTAGCTAAAACAATTTTACTTGCATGCACCTCCCCTAAAATCACCTGCATCATGTGATTAAGGGCAGAGCTATTGCATAATTGGTTGTATTTAACTATCAGATACAAAGAAAAAGGGCCAAACTAGTCTACATATATCTTACAGAGGATGGGATATACATTAGTGCCCATTTACATGGGGGTACATAACAAGCTGAATATTCCAATCCTTTGTCCAAGAGATCCATGAGATTTTTCCAACTCATTTTATCATCAGGCATAAGATCCCATATTTACCATAAGAAGCACAGCCAGACACACAACGCATAGGCACAATGACGCATCACTTTCTAAAAACTCAACCCACGGACAAGGGAAAGACACATATTTTATTTATATTTGAATATTTCAAAATTTTCATGAAATTCACACTAGAAGTATGTTTTAGTTTATAATATTTATATTTAGAAGACAATATATACAATATGTAATACTTCAAGATGATATTAAAAACATACCCAAAATGATGCAGTACCTTTTAGCAAAGGACTAGAAACAAATTAACATTTTTTTAAATGCTTAACATCTTTTAGCCTGGGCCTTCGGGCGACGCAAACTTAAAAAATACATCTCAGTGGGAAAAAAATAATCAGTTATATTTACACACTTTCATTCTTAAAAAGAAAAACAGAATTGTTTATAATTCAGGGGAAAACTTTGCTAATGGTTTTGAGCAAGCATAGAAAAGTATTAACTTTTTTTCAACTCCTTTTTTATTTCTTTGGAAAGGGCTAAAACAACTTCATTTAGTCTTACTGATCCTAACTCCACGTAATGCTGTCGCTCTACAAAAATAGAAGTTTCCATTTTTCTTCTTTATGGAGAAATGGATGTGTTCTTACCACAAGTTTTTAAAGGGGAATAAAATATTAGAAAAGCTTTCTGTAAGAAGGTAAAAACAAGAAGGAAAGTTGCAATAGCGGCCCACCTACACGGAAGTCAACTTCTTATCTAGAAGGCAATAACAAAAAACTAATTTGCAACATGAATTTCTTATCTAACCATAGCACTATTATAAATTTATAACTGTAGCACTAGTCGCATTTTGTGACAGAACCTAAAATCCACTAAGATATATTCAAGTGGGTTAAAGAAGAGATACACAAGAACCCACTAATCCAAATATACTTGTGTAAAAGATGTGGAAACCAGAGGATTGGAGCGATTATGATGTTTGACTATGTTCATAAACTAAATAAAGGCATTGTGACTTGATCTTATTGGACTAATTAGTGAGAAACAATTCATTCTAAGTGGGTAAAGTATCTCTCTTCAGGCCGAGAAGACAGCAAGAACAAAGCATCAGTATCAATTGAAACTCAAGTAAACCATGGAAAAGGGTTGTCACTTTGTCTTATCAGCAAATCTACAGCAACTGAACGATTCTAACAAAGCTAAGACCGTAAAGAAACTACAAAAATGTTTAATAATACCGGTACCTGAGTTTGAAAATAAAGTGATTATTTCCAGCCAAAGCAATTCCATCCCTGTGGATAATGCCTTCTCCGACTTAGCAGACTAAGCATGTTTAAGCACCTATAGGAGTATAGTATTTGACATGAAGTGCAAAATATGTGTGCGCCATTAATATTAAATGTATTAATAAATGCAAGTCAATCAATAGATGTGAAATCCTTAAATGAGTAAAGGTATTAAGGAACTTGGTAGCTACAATATGTGACTATGCTACCAATCCATTACTCGGCGTTCAATTATAAAGTCTGACTATAAGACAATCGGGTTCAGCAGTAGACAGATGTAATCGTGAATTGTGATTGAGGCAAGTGGCAATTGCATAATTACGGACAATTCTTGGGGAAAAAGTTGACATAAAAGAATGAAGGGATGGGATGCAACTATCATCTGACTACTACAACTAGAATAGAATGGATGGCTGAAGCTCTCTGTGAGTAACATTTTATGTTGCTGTGTAACTCAGTGTTCCCTAAATTAAAATCACCACACATAATGCAATATCTAACGCTTTGTCAGTATTTACTGAAGGGGGGAAAAGAGGATTTTCTTAAAGCACGTGGTTGAAACTAGAAATTACCATGCTCTAAATCAAGCTGAAGGTGGCCTAAAGGATAAGCCCCCTAAACGCTCAAATGATACTGTTTCGGTGTTTCTTTTTGTTTTTCTATTTTTTCTTTTTGTGCATGATAAGAAACATAGAGTTTCATTAATAATAATTAAATATACTAAGTTTTCAAGGAATTACAAGAACGCATTCCTTTTTTTCTTATTTTTTGGAAAAAAAAAATTCCACAAAGAGGTTCTCAAAAGAAAGAATCCCACACATCTCCCATACCCCTAGCTCCATCATAAAGATCCTTCAACTTTTTCCAACCACGTTTACGAAAAGTAGCTCTAATAGCACTGCACCAAATAAACTTGGCCCTTCCTTTAAAATGAAAGCTACAAGAGACCTCAAGCCTTTGCCTATCATAAAGATCCTTCAATTTCTTCCAACCACTTATACAAAAAATAGCTCTAATAGCGTTGCACCAAATAAAATTGGCCCTTCCTTTAAAATGAAAGCTATAAGAGAATTCAAAAGCTTTGCCCCTAAGAGGCAGTTGCACCAAATAAAATTGGCCTTTCCTTTCAAATGAAAGCTATAAGAGAATTCAAAAGCTTTGCCTCCAAGAGGCAGCCCAATTGGCAAAAGTTTGGGATCTCTTGGATCCTATTGGCTTAGAGGCTTCAAATTCGAACCTTCCGATGAGCTTAATACCAAAAACTTTTGATATCACTCAGGTATGGATCTTGGAGCGGGTGCAGGTGCCCCTGAGTATAGGACTTCGACTTCGAGTTATTAAAAAAAGAGAGAGAGAGAGATTTCAAAAGCTTAATTGCACCAAAGGAGAAAGAGATAGGCTAACACCAAGAGTATAAAAGAACTACCACCAAATTTTCCAAGTAAAATGACACTCCAGAAACAAATCATTAGAATTTATTTTTTCCAATACAAAATTTCAGAGGGACAAAAACTGTCTCAACCCTTATCTATTCAATATCAGAAAGCGTATTGCAACCAATGAGTCAACTAGGAGATAAGATCACATATATTTGTCTATTTTTTTAATAAAAAACCAAACTTTCATTCAACAAATGAAAGAATACACGAGGGCAAACAAAAAAAGCATACAAAAACCACCCACTCAGAGGAACCCAAGCCCACAGAAAAAAGCTCTAATCCAAAAGAATCACACCTAACTAATAATTACAAAAGACCTTAGAAACCAATGCCCAAAGAGAGTTATAAATATAATAATATTCAAACCTCCTCCCAAGACGCTCAGCCCCTCTAAATAGTCTATTATTTTTCTCTTGCCCAAACACCCCATAAAACAGCGAGGAAAAGGGAAAAAAAGAAAGAAAGAAATAAAAAGAAAAGAAGACTGCCAAAGAACATTCCTTTTGAAAAAGGGAAAAAAACAACCTCTCCTTCCAGATCGCATATTTCTTTGTCTTATCTGCATATACATAATAGGAAAGACAATTCTAACGAAGCTAGAAGAACCTACAGAAGCAAGATAAATGTTTAATAATAACGATACCTCTGGGTTTGATTCTACAGTGGTTACCTTCAGCCAAAGCTATTCTCATTCCTGTCGATAATGCTATCTCCAATTCATCTGGCTAAGGATATTTAATTACCTGTACGAGTATTTGACATAAAGTGCATGAGACATGTGCACCATTAATATTATCTCTAGAAGGCAACCAAAGAATGCCAACTTGCTAAACGATAAAAGGACTTGCTACAATGTCTGACTCAATTACCAACCCATTCCATAGCACTCAATTGTACAGATTGACTATATGACAGTTGAATTTTACATTGGAAGAAATCAATCATAAAGTTAGCACCCCTGTTGAATGAAAAGAAAACCATAAAGTTAGCACTGGTCATCATTGGATATACCCATGAGTTGTGACGGAGAGCCGCGTAAAGTACCAATTTCATAAACATTGCAGATAACTTTCTTGGGGAAAATAACTAACAGAAAAGAATGAAAAGACGGGATAGCTACCATCATCTAATAAGTGCAACTAGAATGGATGGCTGAAGGGCTCTGCCAATAATGTTCCATGTCGCTGTGCAGCATAGTGTCTCTTAAATTGAAATCACCAAAAAGAATTCAATCTTATCCAAAAAATAATTCAATATTAGACAATTTATTTGCATTCACGGCGAAAGAGAAGATCTTTTCTCAATTAAAAATGAAAAAGAAAGAAAGAAGTAAAAGGTAAAAAAGTGAACCTTCATTAGGTAAAATGAAATGTTGAAATCTTCCCAGGAATTTTACAAAAGAGCATTCAAAACAATTTTCATAAAATAATTAAAAATGAATTTCAAAAACCACTAACAAATTTTCAAAAAACAACAAATGTATTTTTGAAAAACAACAGCATTCTGATGGAAGAAATTAATGGGGGAAGTGGATCTATTCTTTTATTCTTTCCAAACCACAACAACAGAAGGTATCCTAATAGCATTAGCTTTTCCTCTGAAAGGTTGGCAATGAAGGGCAGAGTACTACACAATCTCCTTTACCATTAAAGGGAGGACAAAGGACGAATTAAAGGTCTGGAGAATCTCCAGAAATTTTGTGGGGTATAAGAACATCCTAGAAAAATATAATTAGCATTTCCCCACATGGCCTTTACACAGAATACACCAATTTGGTTGAAGTAGAGCATGCTTGGATTAGCGTTCTACTGTTAATGCGTGAGAGATAAAATACAACGAAAAAATTCGAGCATTTTTTACAATTTTAGTATCCAAATACCATCAAAGAAAATCTTGGGCAGATGGTAGTCTTCTTCGAAATAGATATTAACGTTGTCTTGCAGGAGAAAATGCCAGATGAATCAAACACCAAAGCCTCTTCTCTTCATTGGAAGTTCAATTATTATCTTGTAATGCTGCCATAAGGCTAATCCACTCCTCCAAATCTTGATTGTCCCGTTCCTTCTTAGATCTGGTAACCAATCATTGTTTTAAGCATTCTAACACTGATGATGAGTTGTGGCATTGTTCGTAGTAGTGATATTCAATAGCCTGGTAAATTTTGCTAAGACTGTTATCTGAAATCCAGAGGTCAGGCCAAAGTCCAAACTCACCCTCTTTACCAGTCACAATAGTAACAGTTGTAATTTTCTTCATGAAGTCCTTAAGACTTGAGAGTTGAGATAGACTTCCAAGGGTTATGGATGGAGCAATTAGTGTTAAATTTAGGAGTCCATCCCAACTCTTCCACTTCATGGATGCTGACTCCTGCCACATGGGGGGAGCCATCTTTTGAGATTTATAGAGGTCAGCAGTATATTGGATTCAGGAGGGGGGTGGGGGCGGTGGAAGAAGAAGAAGTGGTGGAGGTATCTTTTGAGATTTCAAAATTTGTTGATCAATGGAAGAAGAAAAATTTTATGAAGAAGAAAATAGCCAGTTAGAGGTGTGGACAACCCATGCACCTCAAGAAAAATTGCGTAACAGAGGCAAATTTGGCTAGTGGCTCTAAATCTGACATGTCTCCCTTCTCACAAGACAGTGTCGACAAACTTTGAGAAAGATAGATAAAAGGCATGCTGCTAATTTCCAAGATGCTATTTAAATAGGACTTGTTACTAATAAACAAATATACAAGATAAACAGTTTCTGATGAAACATGGTTGGATGGTTGAAGTCCCAACAAAAGCCAAGTATAGGAGCTCCGTATCATTTTTAGTAAACTTGTGCAATGTAAAGTGAAAACAAGGAGATTGTTAAGTCTAGATGTGAATCATTGGTTGTGACAGATGATTCTATATGGTGAGATTTTGGATAGTCAATGGAGATGCTGCATGGGTGCTTAAAAGACAACATTTTTATTAAGCCAAAGTTTTAGGTTACTGTGATAACCGCTAGCTAAATAGATTTTTTTTTTTTTATATCCGTAAGTGTCCGAGCCAGCTTGCACGCACCTCGACTAATCTCACGGGACAACCGCTGGACCCTACTACATTAGTTGCCTAGGTAACTCGTAGGATATTAAATCCTAAGTAGGTGGCCACCATGGTTTCAACCCATTCCCTCTAAGCCTTTGCTATTTACATTGACCCTTATTAACCACTAGGCCACACCATGATGGTTGCTAACTAAATAGATATTGATCCATGCGTGAGGATAAAGCTTTCACCGAGCACAGATTTGCAAATTCTGGAAGGAGAAAATTTATGGAGCACATATCTAAGTTTGTGATAGTTGCGGTTGTTGTGATAGTAATTAGTGGCAACATAATTTTTTTTTTCTATTTTTTAAAGAACATACAACATATTTGATTGATAACTTAGGGATAAAGTTCAGAGAGAGCACTTGCAAAAAGGTTTGGTTTTGCCTTATCAATAGACAGTAAGTTTGGTTCCATCATCAGGTATAGGTCTAATAGAGAATCATCAAAACCGTTGTGACAATTTTACACTGGGAACTTCTCACTTATTGTTTCCAACAGTATGGGGTTTCTCATTCTCTTGTCAATCATGACTTCGACAAAAATTTGGATGTCTGTGTAGTTCTTTTG